TTGCTTGCAATTAAAATTAGTTGTGTCAACTAAACTTGGTATCTACCATTATAAATATACAGTAGCAATGACCATTTCGCTATAACAGCAAAATTATTTTTCTACATGCAATAATGATTTTGCTCCAATAGCAAAAATATTTGCTAACACTACATTATTTTGCTTTAGTAGCAAATTAACGTGATTCTAAGGACAAATATACTCAGCAAATTTGATTTTATTTTAGTAACAAAACAGATTCTGCTCTAATAACGAATAATTTGGAAAATTAGATATGTCAACTAAATTTCGTCGCTGCCATTACGAATATGCAGTAGAAGTTACAGTTTTGCTACAATAGTAAAATTATTTTTGTCCGTGTGCAATTATTTGATAAAAATGCAAAAGGCTGCACGTGGACTGATAATACCTTTGTTAATTTGTTTATCCTTGACATTACGTATGAAAAAAGCAAGAAGCGTAACTTACAAAAAAAACTATGTGAGACATATATTCAAAATCATAAAATATTGTTGAACTTTCTACGCTAATTGAGACTCTGCAATTTTTCAAAAAATTCCTGACACACAAACACACACACACACACACACACACATATAAGAGATTCAAAGAACATTTGTAAAAATCACTCTCTAATTGAACAATTAAATGCGAACTATCTTTTATGACTTTTCTCTTTAACTATCATGTAAAAATCATGTAACCTTATGTATTAATATATCTACGTATATTTTTTATAAATATGAATACATCGATGAACTGTAGTCATGTTAAAAATATGTCACAAAATTTGCTAGACAATGTTGCTTTTGTGCTTTCTTATCATTATTGTATAATTGCTGATTTTTTGCAAAAAAAGAACCTTGATGAGTAATGTAAGCATGTGGCATATAGGAAAAGCAAAGAAAACGCTTGTTGTCTTTTCTTAAATTTTGGCAAGGAGAAACAATTATGAAAATCATATTTTTGACAATAAGAAAGAAGCTAAAAAAACGAGATATTAAGAAAGATCGATAAAAATCCTCGACGACTGATTTTAATATAAGTATTTTAATAAGTTTAGTGCGACAAAACTGTTTGCCTACCTTCAACTTCAACTTCAATAATAAAATGGCACGGAGCTTGTAGAGAGCCGATACGGCCAGTGTCACAAACAAATGTAGTCCGTAGGCGTGTAATCAAAATATAATCTTTAAGTGTAATCGAAAAAATATAGGCAACAGGCATGTTCATCAAGTTAGTCGATGAGCACAAAGCGGCATGCAGGTCCGCTCTAGAACCGTTCAAAGAATTTTGGATTACGCAATACTCGCATCGAAGCAGAACATGT